AGGAGCCAGCCAGTGGGAGTCAGTCTGGCATTTGGGAGGCACAGGGAGAGGTGATTCCTGGTGGGTGATGGGGAGGGTGGGGCACAGTGAGAGGTGCTCCGGCAGCCCCCTCAGGGGTCAGGGCATGGAGAGCGGCTTCACTGCATGTGCGACGGGGAAGCTGTGCAGGGGTCAAGTAGAAGAGTGGTATACACTGATTTGTGTTTTGAAAGATCCCTCCACCTGGCTCAGAGGGGTATAGAGTCCCACTGGGCTATGTGTCCCAGCAATCTGCTCACCTGTGCAGGAATGTGTGGAGGGAGAAACTTCGGCCAGACCTGTGTCTCTGAGCTGTCAGCAAGCCGCAGTGGGTGCCCTGAGTGGGCTTTGGTTGATTTTCCAAATATGCTGTAGTGCCTTTTTATGTATGTGACTTGATTTTCCTTTGGTTGAGGGTGGTGGTGACACAGAAGCAGGAATATTTTAAAGAACAAATTGCAGATGGAAACAGGTGGTGCTGACACTAGAAGCCCTGGGTTTGGGCAGCCAAATTGGAAAATGCGGCCACTTGAAAGAGCTTTGGTTGTTTTTAGCTTCCTTAACAACCACAGAGTGGAATGAAAACCTGAGCCGCTCCAGGCAAGTTCTGTTTGGAGGAAAAATGACATCAATTTGACTCAATTACCATGTGAAACAGACAACAAGCCTCTCTCTGGTGAGCAGAGAAACAAGCAGCAGTGCTAGAGCACTCACTGGTTCCCACACCTCAATGGCCATGATGGGAAGCTGCTGGGGGCCTTGTGGAATGCAGATGGCTGGGCCCACCCTCCTCCACCGGGTTCTGATTCATGGGGTCTGGGGTGGGCTCCAGAATGCGTTTCCAAAATGTGCTCAGGCCATGTTGGTGCTGCTGCTTCAGGGACCCCGCTCAGAGGGACTGCTAGAGAATATAGCCCCCTCCAGGGTGCGGGTCTGGATGGGTGTGGCCTGCGATGTGAGGGAGTCACCTCCACTTCCCATCTGTCCCTGGGGAGGCCCTAAGTCACCAGGTAGGTGGTGTTCATGTGAAAACCCCACCTGGCATTGCGAACAGCTCCTCCCCATGTGCCCCCATCACCTGTCCCTGTCTACCCCTCCCTGACCGTGTCACCATGTCGCCCAGCCAGGGCAGCCCTGCAGTGTGCTGCTGGCAGTGGGTCCACCCACTTGGCCCCCAGGCTGCCAAGGAAATGTGACAAATGAAGCTGGGGCTCTGAACACTTGCCAGGATGCAGCCAGAGCTGGATGGATGCAGGAGACAGACTTTCCAGACAATTGGTTGTGCTATTCCCTGCCCATCCAGGTGTCTCCCTAAACATCATGGGGCCGCTGCCTCCAAGACTCTCCTGAGTGTGAATTTCCATGACAGAGGAGAACAGGGAGACTTCCTTACATGTCTTTGAGGCCTGCTGCTTTGTGTTCTGTGGCTGTCGTTGGATTCTCGTCTGGCTCACCCGGCTCGCCTGGCTTGGCACTGGGCCTTGAGGGAGATCCTGTGCGTCTGCCTGGCCCTGTGCTCTGCTGGGCTTTGTGGGAGCGTGGTCTGCTCAGGTGACAAGGTGCTTTAGCTATGGTCGCTCCTGCCTGCTCTCCTGAATGTGGGCATCCCAGTTACACATCAAGGGGGGTACCTTCCTGCAGGCTTACTAGAGAACATTGTTCAGAGCATGAAGCTTCTTGTCTTAAATTAATTAATGAAAAAGTTTAATTTGGTAAAATACACATAACAGGATTTACCATATAGTCATTTTTAAGTGTACAGTTCAGTATCATTAATTATATTCACATTGTTGTGCAATCAAACCTTAGAACTTTGTCATCTGGCAAGACGGAAACTCTACACTCATTAAACAACAGTTCCCCATCTCGCCCTCCGTCCCAGCCTCTAGAGCATGAAGCTTTTCTCCCCCTCCAGCTCACATATTTTTTGTGTATTTGCTCCAAGAAAAGTACCTGAGCCTTTTGGGGTCACGGTACATGGGATGTGCAGAACTGTCCTCAGCCGGACTGGAGAGCGGGGGATTCTGACGAGGGAGTTTGTTTCTATAGCTTTTTCCTTCCTGAAACTTGCATCATTCCATTCAGGCTCTGTTCTTTATGCTGCTTTCAGGGGGCGTGTCAGAACATCACTGAGAATTGCTTTCCTGTGTTATTGCTTTAAACCCACAATATTCTTTAATGTCTTTGGCTGCCATTGCTGTTACAGGCAGTGTTTAGATTGCACCTTGAAACCCTGTGTGACTTGAATTTTCTCCCTCATAATTTCAAGTTTTCATTCTTTCTAGTTTTCATGTTTTGAATTGAGGTTTTCCAGTTTGGGCCCAATCCTAAGGCTGAATATTTCTGGAAAAATTTGATTTACAGCCGTTGGGTGGTTCTCAGAAAAAAGGAAAAAGTTATGTGCTTTTCCCTTCTTCACCCAGGTTTAAGGATAGGTAGTTAAGGTAGGACTTCAGAATTGGCCTACAGATGGTTTAGTATAAAAAAAATGACTGCAATTTTGTTCTTGAGGAAAGAAAAAGTTTTGGGAGGGGGTAGTGAGAACAGAAGAACTGAATATGTTGTATTTTTCCTTGTGGGAAAGAATATTAAATTACACAAAGATTCTGTTTTGCTTTAATAATAGTTTTCAAAGGGAAAAATCCAAGCACTGACACAGCTAATTCCTTTGTCACACAGATGCTCAAGCACTGTGCGTGCCTGGCTTCTGCCGCTTGTGTGCCCGACGCCGTGTCCAGCTTCACATGGCCTGAATTAACTGTGGCCACGCTGTTGGCTGTGGTCATTGCTTTATGTTGCTGCTGATGTACTGGAGAGAAAATTTTAATGCCCCTGCTAGAAAATTCTCCCTCTGGATTATGTCTGTCAGGAAAAAAAAGCATATTCAAAACCAAGTGAAATAAGTTAGAGAAAAACAAACACTGTATGATTTCACTTATATGTGGAATCTAAAAAACCTGAACTCATAGATACAGAAAACAGATTGGTGGTTCCCAGAGGTGGGGGGTAGAGGTATGGGTAGAGGTGGTGAAAAGGTACAAGCTTTTATTTGTAAGATAAATAAGATCTGGAGATGTAAGATACAGCATGATGAGTATAGTTAACAGTACTGTATGGTCTATTTGAAAGTTGCTAAGAGAGTAGGTCTTAAAAGTTATTTCACAAGAAAAACAATTGTAATTATGTGAGGTGATGGATGTTAACTTATTGTGGTAATCATTTTGAGATATGTATATATTATATATACTATGATATATAGTATAATATATATAATCATGTTGTATACCTGAACCTAATACAATGTTGTATATCAATTATATATCAATAATACTGAAGAAAAGGACATAATGAAACAAAAGTATTTTCCCAATTTAAAAAGAAAAGGGGGCTTCCCTGGTGGCACAGTGGTTGAGAGTCCGCCTGCCAATGCAGGGGACACGGGTTTGTGCCCCAGTCCGGGAAGATCCCACATGCTGCTGAGCGGCTGGGCCTGTGAGCCATAGTCGCTGAGCCTGCGCGTCCGGAGCCTGTGCTCCACAACGGGAGAGGCCACAACAGTGAGAGGCCCACGTACCGGCCTGTGCTCCGCAACGGGAGAGGCCACAACAGTGAGAGGCAGAGACACCGAAAAAAAAAAAAAAAAAAAAAAAAAAAAAAAAAAAAAAAAAAAAAAAAGAAAAGGGAATGTTTAAAAGATTCTTCCCTCTATATCTTACACTACTACCCTCATCACCTACTCCATTGTACCTCCCTGAATCCTGGTCTCTCCTGAGAAGGAACTCAGGAGGATCGTAATGACCTGGGGGTCCTCAAATCCGATGGTTCTTTTCTGTCTACGTCACCTTTCATTCCTTTGCCTTACTTGAGTTTTCCTATCTCTCTTCTCCTTGAATCCTTTGATTTCTTGATGTTGAGATCCTTATAATTAAGTTCTACCAACAAGAGGTGCAAAACTGAGAAGGGCATATCCTTTTCTGTTACTATAACTTTATCTCACTGACAAACTTTGGTTAGAATGAGGAATTCAGTGGAAAAAGGAATATGGCCTTTTTGGCTGGACAGTCTGGATTTGGATTGTAGTCATAGTTGACTGGCAGTGGGTCTTGAGCTGGTGGCTTTATTATGTCACTGAGTCGAGGTTTGTGGAGACACCAACCTTGATGGGTTATGATGAGGGTTAGAGAAGATACAAGTTGACACGTGGCAGATTGCCACAGGCATGGACCTTCCCCATCCTTTCATAAAGATCCCCTTCATCTTTCTGCAGGAAACACCAGAATCATCAGACATCCATTTCTTTTTTTCAAAACCACCTGTCCTATACATTTTTTTCAACCAACTGATTTCCATTTTATCTTTGCATGTATATGTTTGTATGCACATGTGTGTGTGATTACAGAGTTTTCTGTTATACTTCTTTCTCTTGAGGAATTTATATTTATGGGAGTTTTTTGGACTCAGAAGGCCTTTTAAATAAAATCTAGGTTATATATCTCACATATATGTATTTTTTTGTTCCAATAAGACTTTATTATGAACATTGAAATTTGAATTTCATATAATTACTCTTCTTTAGATTTTTTTTGTACTGCAAGAACACAGTTTAAAAAATTTTTTTAATTAATATAATTTTTAATGAATAAAATTTATATTTCATTTTATAAATAAATACATTTATATTTTATTCATTTATATTTTGTGTTTTAGATTTATAGGAAAATTGAACATGTAGTACAGAGAGTTCCCATACACAATTTCCCCTATTATTGACATTTTACATTAGTATGGTATGTTTGTTATAACTAATGGACCAATATTGTTACATTATTATTAAGTCAAGTCCATAGTTTGTGCAGATGTCCTTAGTTTTCACCTACTATCTTTTCTTTGTTCCAGGATCCCATCCAGGATACCGCTGTTGTTTTTTTTTTTTTATTTTTGTATTTATATGTCTATCTATTTCTTTTTTTCTCTCTTGATAGGTATTCAATATGTTTCAGCACCAGAGCCTTGGAATTAAAGTTAACATTCAAGTTACCAAGCTTGTCCTGCTACGACAGCGCCCTGTAAGTCCCCATCGGCACAGTAACGGAAAATGTAACTGGTCTCCAGGCTTCCTAGTTGCTGTTGAGCACTGAGGAGGAGTCCAAGTGTTGTATTTTATCCTCCTTCCCTGGCTTTGCAGATGGCAACACTGTGCCCTGGGCCAGGGACCAGGGATGCCTGGTGCAAGGAGGACAGGTACTGTTACTGGAGGCTTGGTGTGCAGTTAATCTGCTCAGAATCTCAGGGGAACCTTGAGCAGTGGGCCTGTGTGCCTCCCTCCTTCACTGCCGCATGTTTCATGGGTGCAAAGTTGATGGTGAGGTCTTTGGAATCATGGCTACTCTTCTGGAGCTATACCTGAGCTTCAGGCCAAATTTGAGTGCTCTGTAGCATCATTTTCTGGTCTTTTGATTGACCAGAAACACCTTATGAAAGTGTTATCTGCAGAGTTAAGCAGTGAACGTGAGAACGTTGGATATGGTATTCAGTTTGCCAAAAAGAAGAAAGCTTTTCTTTAATGACATAGTCTTCATTCAAACTTATAGATAAGGCCCCTGATGGCCTCTCTCTGGGTCTCTGCATCTTCCTACCAGCATTGTGGGCAGGTGACATTGAATGATGCCCCAGCGAGCAGCTGTCTCCACCTTAACATCCACATTGTGGTCTGAGCATGAACTCTGGCTTCCCTGGGCATTTGCTTCTGTAACTGCCCCCCTGATTTCTTTTAGGCCAAATTGTCCATTGGGCATCATGGTGAGCGGTCCCTGGAGAGCTTCTGTCATTGGCAGAATGAGGAGTATGGCGGCGCACGGTACCTTGGCAACAATCAGGTTCCAGGAGGCAAGGACGATACGCCCCCCGTGGATGCCGCTGTATTCGTGACCAGGTAAAACTAGACTCTGCCTGGAGCTGCAATGGAGAAAGGGAGGGCATTTTCCATTGGAGAGGACACATGGCAATTTGCTAGGAATTCAGGCTTGGAAATCAGACTTTGGGCCACATGTCTGAACCTTGGATTCCTCATCGGTAAGATGGGGATAAATGATAGTCCTACCTCCAAGGTGTGAGGATTAAATGAGCACAGGAAGCACTTCTCACAGTGCCTGGCCCAAAGTAAGGACACAAGTGTTAGCTATTATTATTGCTATTCTTATCATTAATATAAAACTACTGAAATCCTAGTTACCCAAGACTCTTAAAACTTCCAAGAAAATTCATCTACTACCTCTTCCCAGCACCAAATATAATGCTTACGGGAAAGAGCTCATCTGTGTTTGAGGCTGCTTCCAAAGTGGGAGAAGTGAATACCCTGATTTTCCTGTGGAGGGAAGTCCATGCAAGCGTGTGTGTGCTGTGCACCGCCCATCCATGGGCACTCTTGGGACAACAGCAGCGGGCAGAGATGCCTGTGGAATTCACATAGAGGCTCCATTTGAAGCAAGAAGCTGAGCTTCTTTATAGGCTACAGAGCTGGACTTACTCTTCCTGACTGAGAGGGAAGCCAAGGGGCCCAGCAGTGGACAATAGAAACCAAAGGCAACTTTCTATGCAGATAGCAGCAATTTTATTTTAGTTTTCTAGGGCTGCAGTAACAAATTACCACAAAATGGGTGGCTTAAACAACAGAAATTTATTTTCTCACAGTTTTGAAGGCCAGGAGTCTGAAATCAAGGTGTGGGCAGGGCCGTGTCTCTCTGAAGGCTCAGGAGGGGAGGATCCTTCCTCCTTCTTCCTACCTTCCGGTGGTTGCTGCAATCCTGGGCATCCCTTGTCTTGTAGATGCATCACTCCAGTCTCCTTCGTCACATGGTGTTCTCCCTGTGCCCACATTTCCTTCTTCATGTAAGGACACCAGTCATTGGATTGTGGCCCAGCTTAATCCAGTGTGACCTCATCTTAACTTGATTACAGTGACCCTCTTTCCAAATAAGATTACATTCACAGGGACTGGGTGTGGGGTTAGGACTTGAACATATCTTTTGGGGGACACAGTTCAACCCATGATAGGTATAGATGTGGCTATTTCATTTTTTCCCTATGTCTCAAATCTCTGTTAGAAAAATTGATTTTCCTTGGTTGTTTTACTTCAGTGATGTAAATAAAATGTGTTATGTGTTACACCAAAATCCCCTTTTAGAAAATATGAGGAAATGTTTTGTGATAATTTAATCTATTAGGTTAAAATACAAAATTTTATTTATTTTTTAATTTTTTTTGCGGTACGCGGGCCTCTCACTGTTGTGGCCTCTCCCGTTGCGGAGCACAGGCTCCGGACGCGCAGGCTCAGCGGCCATGGCTCACGGGCCCAGCCACTCCGTGGCATGTGGGATCTTCCCGGACCGGGGCATGAACCCGTGTCCCCCACATCAGCAGGCAGACTCTCAACCACTGCGCCACCAGGGAAGCCCAAAATTTTATTTTTTTTGAATGAATATATCATGAATATATCAACTTTGAATTTTAAGATTTTTTTTTTGATTTACAGAAACTACTTCCAAAATTACATGCTTTCTTTTTCTCTGAGTTCAGAGAAAGGGAACAGTTTACCATGTCTTTAGCTTAAAGATAACCTGCCCTTCTAAGAAGAGTTAAATCTGGTTTAAGACTTTCGTTTTGAGTCCAGAAGGACTCTTATTTTGCATCTCTTGGGCCATAAACAACAAGCCCCTGGCCTGATGGCATCCTGAAGGTAGCTGGTGATGATCTGTGACCCCAGCTTCAGGCACCCTATACCAGGCAATGTAGCACCCTACGGTTCTCCTCTTAAAAAAACACAGAACATGCACATTGCCACCATCAGATACCAACTAGATGCCTAATCTTGTAGATGATTCATCAGTTGCCAACCCTAAAGGGTTAAAATGTGATCTGTGGCACACTGATCCATTATGAGAACACTTGCTGCTTCTACAGGATGTGATTAAATGTATAACGGAACATTTGAGAAGTCTATTCAATAATTCTGATTGCCAACATATGGCTGGTTGTCTACCAGGAACCAAGGACAAGGCGTGAGCATGACCTTGTACTTGCCTTAGATCTGGGTTTGCCCACCCTGGTGAGTGCTGGGAAGCCCTAGGTACCACCTCTCCCAAGCAGCTCTGGCCCCCACACTCACTGGCCAGAGGCTGCCATGGCTCAAGGCACTTTGAAATAGCTTTTGGAGCCTATGGGGCTTTCCATAAAGCACTGAGGATTACAGTATTGGTCTTATGGCCACCACCCTTTGAGAATAGATTTAATTTGTGGGGCAGGCAGAAGTCCTTGGGAACCATATCTATATGTGACTGTAAATTAATGTGATTGATTTTCCAAATGATAATTAAATGAGGACTAAAGACCTTTCCTAGAGAGGAGCTCTAAATAACATCATCTTTGGAATATGCAGCTAAACTTCCAAGGTTATTACTTTGAAAGTGGTTTATGTAAATACTATATAAAATGTATAAATTCTGGTGTTTTGTTAAAAATAATAACCTATGGGAATTTTCCCTGTATTGCTTCTTTGCTTTCCTGCTGTTTCCTTTCTTGTCTGGGTAGAGAAAACACTTGCAAGTGATCTTGGTTTGGGAACAACTAGCTTTTTTTCAGAGGCAGTAGATGTTACCAAAATTAGTGTAGACAAAACTTCTGGATTAGCCTTTTTACAAAACGCCATCAGAGAGACTGAAGGCACCCTCAGCCTGAGAATGCTGCCTGTTAGGCTTTATATTTTCCTTTCTCTTTTTCCTGTCTCGTAACAGCTTATTTACCATACTGGAAATATTTTGCATAAAAATGTTCTTTACATCTCACACCCATTAGGATGCCTACTATTTAAAAAAACTCAAACAACAGAAAATAACAAGTGTTGATGAGGATGTGGAAACATTGGAATCCTTTTACCCTGTTGGTAGGAATGTAAAATGGTACAGCCACTGTGGAAAACAGTATGGCAATTCCTCCAAAAATTAAAAATAGAACTACCATATGATCCAGCATCTCCACTTCTGGGTATATGTCCAAAAGGATTTTGAAGAAATTCGTACACCTATATTCATAGTAGCATTAGTAATAATAGCTAAAATGTGGAAGCAACCCAAGTGTCCATCAGTGGATAAATGAATAAACAAAATGTGGTGTTTCCATACAAATGGAATATTATTCAGCCTTAAGAAGAAAGGAAATTCTAACACTAGTTACAATGTGGATGAACCTGGAGGACATTTTGCTGAGTGAAATAAACCAGTCATAAAAGGACAAATCCTTTGTGATCCCACTTATATGACATACCTAGAAAGTTAAATTCATTGAGACAGAAATGGTAGTGGCCAGGAGCTGTGGGGAGGAGGGAATAGGGAGCTGTTTAATGGATATAGAATTTCACTTCTGCAAGATGAAAAGAGTTCTGGAGATTAGTTGCACAGCAATGTGAATATACTCAATGCTACAGAACTGTGAACTTAAAAATGGTTAAGATGGTAAATTTTACGTGTATTTTACAACGATAAAAAACTTTTAAAATGTTCTTTTCTAACTTAGCACATTGAAGGGGGTGGTCCTGATTGCAAGCGGGTGTTTCTGAGTGGGGAGGCCGGGGAGGCAGATGCCTTGTGGCCCGGGAAAGTCAGGTTTCTTCAGATGCAGGCAGAGCCGATGCAAAGGCCTCCATCCCGCTCTGTCACCTGCGGCCAGCCCAGGAGCCTGTGTTGTCTCTCCATTTTGAGCCATCTTGATCCCTCTCACTTCTGTGGGGAGCTGCTGGACTGAACTGATAGGTGCCGTCTGTCCTCTGGGTCCTCACAGACGTTAAACTCAAGACCTCGCATGAGGATGGGGTGGCAGTGATGGAGTCGGGGCTGGAAGCCAATTTGGCTGAGAAGTATCGTTTAATAATTAGAGGCTGAGAGCTGCAATTCCTTAGGTTGGGATAATAATGGGCTGATGTTTTCACAGAGAAATTGGGTGCGAGGCAGTTGCTGCTCTGGAGAAGCAGTCCTTTCCTCCCGGAGTAATCCAAGCTGAGGGTCTAATTGGAGGCCGTACAGGCCAACGGTGTTTAGGGGCCGGCGTCCTCAGGTCTTGGGACTGGCTGATGTGAGGGTTTCTTCTCTTTTTGTTTTCCTTCCGGGCTGTGGCTGAGCCCGAGAGTGTATCCTCCTGGACGCCCACCAACCATACAGATGGCCAGTTGCCAAGATGTGAGCATGACATCGCGTCCAACAGAAGCTGCTGAGCAGGGAGCGGTGGGAGCTGCATATCCAGCAGCTGCAGCCGTGTGTAGGGCCAGCAAAGACCTCTTAGTAGACTGAGTTTGGGGGCCATATGGGACCCGCACAGACTGGACTTCAGGGGACTTCAACACCTGGCACGGCCTTGCCTTTGGCTCCACATGTCCTCCAGAAAGCCAGGAATTTTACCCCGCAAACCCAGGTCTATGCTCCTGGGAAACACCTGGAGCGACATGCATGGCCAGCCCAGAGCGCGACCACCAGGACATCCAGCTGTCCCTCCACCTTCCCTTCCCATGTAATTCTACCCAGTCCCAGGGACGGTCCTCCCTCAACCTTTGGCCTTGCTCATGTGACAGCTTGGTGGGTACCTGTGGTGTTACGTTTTTCTGGGTTTCCAAACACAGGGGAGAGACAAGGCCACTGATGAGCTGACAGGACACATTGAAAGTGATCTGGAAATGTATGCCGGTCGTTTAGTAAAGGAGCCAGTATTTATTAAACCCCAACTGTATGCCAGGCAATAGCTTATGCACAGGACTAGCTATGTAAGTTGTGGTGCCCAGTACAGAATGAAAACTCGGGACCCCATGTTAAAAAATTCTTAAGAATTTCAAGATGTTGAGAGCAGAGCGGTAAAGCAGGTTGGGGGATGGGAGGCTTCTGAGTGAGGGGCCTGCGTGATGGCACAGCTCACACATCCACGGAGCCCGCTCTGGCCTGTAGATCCGTGCAGCCTTCCTTCTGATGAGGGACAAACAGCAGAATGTGAATGTGAACAGACTGAGAGGCTGGAGAGCTGCATTGGGACCCTTTTTTTTTTTTTTTTTTTTTTGATTCCCCAGTTGACCCCTGCAGCCCCAACATGTGGGTTTGGCATGAGTTTGCAGTGGGAGCCAGGGTACCTGGAGATGAAGGTGACCCTGCAGGCAGAAGGCTTGCTTTTCTTTTTCTGAGAAAGGACCTTGAACAGGCAGGGGAGAGAAGATTCAAATTTTGGCGACCCTTTCAAGCCAGGCCTTTAATTGAGCTTGGCTCACATATGATGAGCCCACCATATGTCCTCCCACTTCCTTAGGAGAAGCAGTGGGTGACGCTGCAGGGTTCATCGCTTGAGACCACCCGTTTCCCTCCAGGGAAGCCGGGGGATGAGAGAACACACAATGCCCTGTCAGCCATCTTCCTCCAAGCTGGCCAGAGAGACAGCTAGAAGGAGCTGGGGCCAGTCCCCTCAGCAGCCCTGTTCAGTCTGTTTAGTTCTCTTCTGTGGGACTGATGGCCACACACCCTTTCTCCCTTTGCCCAGGTGAGGCAATGCGATGATGCTTTCAACACTTTTAGTTGCTCACTCTGGGAAACCCTGGAGCAAGGTCTCAGGCCAATCTGGTGTGTGTGTGTGTGTGTGTGTGTGTGTGTGTGTGTGTGTGTGTGTGTGTGTGTGTGTTATATGTGTGTGTGTGTGTGTGTGTGTGTGTGTGTGTGTGTGTGAGTGACAGGCCCAAAACATTCCAATGGGAAGGGTGTCAGATCAAGAATGTTGAGTTGGGGTTAGTTAGATACCAGACCAGTGAACATATTTATGTCCCTAATTTTATTTGTTTGTTTTCTTCTCTGCCTCTGTGTCTTCCTTGCCACCCTCTACTGCCTGTTAATTAGTCTTCTGAAAGGTCGTCCTTGACAGAAAAATCAAGGCACGAATCTTCATTTTCCTATGGTTATTCCATCTCCATTTCTATGGAGGCTCCCTTGATTTTGGAGGGGGTTATGAAAAGCCTGAGGGTCTTGAAGGCTTCCTTTTTCCTTTGTTAAAATTATTTTAAAATTGATTACCAAAATATATACGTTCATTATGAAAAAATTAGAGACGCAGTCAGCAAAACCCATGTGGGCTGCTTAGGGGATTGGCCCAGCTCCTTCTAGCTGTCTCTCTGGCCAGCTTCAGGGCCACCTCTTCAAAGCTGTCACACCCATGCCAGCTGCCCTTTCCCCTGGGCTCACAGGATGTCCAGGGTACCTGGCAAGACTTCTTGGCCTGAGGCAGTGGCCTGGACCAGGAAATTCTGTACATTAGAACCCCAAGTGGAATCTTTTAAACCTGCAGATCTGGCCTCTGTGGGTCTAGTGGGTGGGTAGAGTCTTTGACAACTTTCAGGCCAGCCTGAAGCAGAGCCAGGGCTGGGAACAAGCAGGTTTTGCTCCACTCACATGGACATTCACATAGTGCTGAGAGGCGTTAGACATGGGTTACATTATGGAGGCAAATAGGATAGAATGTGCTGTGGTTTGGAGTGGAGGTAAAAGGAAAGCTGATGATATTAACATTGCCTTCTTGTCATTGTCCCCAGTGTGAATGGCAGATCAGATCCTTCCGTGAGAATAGATTTTTGACAGAGAGTAGGAGAGGAATTGAGGACACTGAATGCCGA